CGACGGCGGCGGCGGATGCGCCCGCGGACGGCTCGACGGCGCTGCGCGTGCTGGTGTCGGCGGTGTACTTGCTGATCTGCGCGGGCGGGCTGCTGGGAAACCTGCTGGTGCTCGCGCTCGTCAAGCCGCGCGGCCCCGGCGGCGCCGCCGTCAACGTGTTCATCGTCAACCTGGCCGTGACGGACCTCGGCTTCGCTCTGACGTTGCCGTTCTGGGCGGCGGAAAAGCTCCTGGACTTCAGGTGGCCCTTCGGTCACGCCATGTGCAAGGTGGTCCTGAGCGCCACCGTGATGAACATGTACGCCAGCGTTTTCTTCCTCACCGCCATGAGTGTCACGCGCTACCGCTCGATGAGCGCTGTGGGCGGGCGCCACCTTGGCCACGACCCCCGCCGCCATCTTCTCGACGGTGCGGCATGTGGCCGGGGAAGGTCTTTGCCTGCTGGGTTTCCCCAAAGGCGGCACCTGGCTGGCGCTCTACCACGTGCAGAAGATCCTGGTGGGCTTTGTGGTGCCGCTGGGCGTGGTGTGCGCGTGCTACCTGCTGCTGCTGCGACTCCTGCGCGCTCGCGGCGCCGAGCGGCGGCGCGCCCGCGTCACCCGCTCCGTCACCATCGCGGTGATGTCCTTCTTCCTGTGCTGGATGCCCAACCAGGCCGTGACTTTGTGGGGCGTCCTGGTCAAGTTGAACCTGCTTCAGTGGGACCGCGCCTACTACGTGGCGCACACGTACGCGCACCCGCTCAGCGTGTGCCTGGCTCACACCAACAGCTGCCTCAACCCGCTGCTCTACTGCCTGCTGCGCCGCGATTTCCGAAGCCGCCTCAAGCGGTTGTGGAAGATGGCGCGGCTGGCCGCGGGCCGCTCGCGTGCCCCCGGGTCATCCCGCCACGCGCACGCCAGCGGGATTCCATTCACCGACTTGGAGAACAGCAAAGACCGCCGAGAAACGGCACTCGCCGAAACCCGCGAGCTGGTTGCGCTCGCCAAACTTGATTGAGCCGAGGCACGCGTCGAGGCGCCTCCGATTCCGAGTTGGGCTTTTGAGTGCGATTCAGACTTTTGCCACCAGATGGCGACAGTAAACGTCACGACATCCTGCCGCCCGCCATCTGTTCATGCGCTCACATTTTTCTCAGTTTTTTTGTGCCGCTATTTATGGCGGAGATGATGGACGATGTCCAATGAATTCAAGCTTGAAATCATGAAAACTTGAGCGCGGTGCGCGTGCAACCAACTTGGCGAGAGGCAGAAACGTCGTACTTTGACATTACGTGCTGTCCTGAAGGCGAAGGCGTTCTTCAGTGGCTACAGAGCTTGCCACGAGCTTCCAAATGTTTTCAAGTGCATTTGTGGTTGCACTCGCAACAAACACAAAAGTTGGACTGCAGCAAAATGCCGCACCACGAAGGATGACTGACAGCTTGGGGCCCATCGGGCAACCTGACAACTTTGACTAACCTTGCATGCGCAGACGTCATCGCGTCGAGGATGGATGAAAATGGTGTCGACCCAACAGGACGCGCCGTCATTTTCGAACGGCAAACTCTGAGTGCTCCGAGTTTCAAACCCTAAATGAGTTCAAAACCCTTCCGAAAACCGGAACCCAAGCTTAAAATTCTGCTTTAAACGGAGGTGAAACCCTTTTTTAAAAATCTTAACCCTAGTTTAAAACGCTACTTTGAACTGCCAGCTTTTTGAAACCCATCTTTGAAGTCGGTTGCTCGTGGTTATGCGCTAGCTGTTGGAAACCTTTACATTTGTGACGCAGTTTTTGTGCATTCCCCCCCCCCCCCACATCATTATAACTTCCTCATTTAACAGACACCTGAAAACATAAAATAAAAATGACTGGCTCTTATTCAAAGACAATTAACAAAGGGTTTAACCTCAATAAATTCAGATTCAGAAAACTTTATTTATCCCCGTGGGGCTAAATAATATAAAATATTATTTAAATATTTAAAAATATATAAAAAAATAAATAATAAAGTTCCCTTTTTGAACAACAACAAAAAAACGTTTTAAAAAAATCACTTTATTTACTCTATTTACTATTTTTAGCCACTAGGAAGCAGCACGACACCATGTAATAATTTACATGTCAAAAATTTTACAAGCCCACATGTATAAAACGTCTTACAGAGGTACAATTTCCAAAAAATAACTTCACCCAGCGTTCACTCAACCTAAGTCGAGCTATTGTTCTTGGCATGTGTTTGTGGAATTTACCATATGAAAGTCCAATTCCTGAAAAATGACACACGTTCTTCGCCCTAAATCGAGTTACAATCCAAGGCCTGTGTTTTGCTGCATGCAAATCCATTTCCTGAAACTTGACCTTACCCACCGTTCACATCGGAAGTTATCTCTATTTTGGGGGTTTCTCTCGTGTTTTTTTTTTAAAACAAATATGTTTGATTTATATTTGTGTTTCTAGTCAGGAAAAATGGGTTCTAAGATTTGCTTTGTTTGTTGTGTTAGTCTAGTTGTCTCCAAAAATTCTAACTTGGTCACACTCATATTTGTGCGCACTGACCAACTTGGGAGCAAAAAGACTTGAGGACCGGGACGATTTAATCAAATTATGTTTAGCATCCCCGAGGCCAGGAGCATATAATGTCCTGTATTGAACTGTTGCCCGAAGAAGACACCAGCCATTTTCTCATAGTCCTATATTTTTTGACATACACAAAATTGGGCGATCAACAGTTGAGTTAATAATATAATATAATATAATTAACTGAAACTGAAGAGGAGGTCATTCACCGGAAGTGCATCATATGTACATATACAGTATCTAGCTATCGATTTATCTATCTCTGGACAAAGGGGAAAAAAAACAAAACAAGGTAAAACACGGAAGTATGTAGTGCAAAGAAAGTTCCAGTCGGACGTATTTTCAGGTCGGACTTGACTTCCGGTAAGGTCCTCTCCAGCCTGAAGTGAAAATGCAGCTCGGGCTTGCTTTTAACGACATTTGACACGTTTTACACTTTTCAATGTAGCACAACAATAACAGCGCGCGTCTCATCGGACGACCAGGAAGGAGTGGCTGCGATTGTTTGCTTTTTAAAAGTGGCATTTGTGGAGCTTAGCGGCTCCCTCCGTCGGGAGCTAGCATCTGGGTTAGCCCGAAACCGTCGGACGAGCGCCGCGGGGTTACGAACTGTCCTCCTCCGGCCGCTTTCTCCTCACTCGGACGCTCAGCGCCACGGAGACGCCCGGCAGCTTTTCATGCGGGCGCGGGAGTTCTTTCGGACATTTTGATGGGAGGCTGCTGGCCGCCGCCGGGTGGACGTCGCGGGCAGCACTTGCTTGCGAGGCCGGCGCGGAGGCGGCCGCGGCGGCGGCGGCTGCGGCCGCTGCGACGTTCCGGGCCCGCATGGAGTCTCTGGCCGGCTACGTGCACAAGGCGGCCGGCGAGGGTCGCGTCCTCACGCTGGCCGCGCTGCTGCTCAACCACAGCGAGGCCGAGACGCGCTTCCTGCTGGCCTTCGTCAGCCAGCAGGCGGGCCAGAGGTCAACGCCGCTCATCATCGCCGCCCGCAACGGACACGACAAGGTGGTCCGCCTGCTGCTCGAGCACTACCGCGTGGACACCGAGCAGACCGGCACCACGCGCTTCGACGGGTACGTGAACGTTACGAGCCGTTCACTTTCTCCGTCTGATTTGAGGCTCTCCTAGTTGCCAGCCAAACGCCCGACGCGTAGTGACAAACAGTAGATTGGTCGCCAGGAAGAACGGGAAGCAAATGAAGTGGACACCAGGCAAGAGCTGGGCCGAAAGACAAACAAAAGACGGCCTTCCAGCCAATGTCAGGGCAAATACGGACAAAGGACTGGCCATGAGCAAATGTCAGTGCATACGCTACTTGGACAGTGAAATGGTTGCTGGACGCTATCAGGGGCGATGATGATGAGGATGATCATCATCATATTTCCATGAAAAAGCAAAGCATTCGTCACTAGTTTACGTCAGGGCAGGTACAGGCATACAATAGACTGGTTGTGAGTATGCACAAGCTGGCGTTGGATTGTGACTGATAGCATTGATTAAAAATAGCACAGTATTAAAGTGAAAGCTCTAAAATGACCTATGTTGAAATATTTGGCCAAATAGAAACAGCCCTTTTTTTCCCTTTCATCCATCCATCCATTTTCTGATCCGCGCATCCTCACCAGGGTCGCGGGCATGCTTGAGCCACGCAGGCAAATGTGTTGAGGTGGCGAAGCTTCGAATGGCGCATGTTTGTCAGAACCGTCGCATTTGCCGTCCGCTTGACCGCTGTTGCCTTTGCGCTCCCGCAGCTACGTGATCGATGGGGCGACAGCGCTGTGGTGCGCGGCGGGCGCCGGCCACTTTGAGGTGGTACGCCTGCTGGTGGCTCACGGTGCCAACGTCAACCACACCACCGTCACCAACTCCACGCCGCTGCGGGCGGCCTGCTTCGACGGCCGGCTGGACATCGTGCGCTTCCTGGTGGAGCACGCCGCCGACATGGCCATCACCAACAAGTACAACAACACCTGCCTGATGATCGCCGCCTACAAAGGCCACGGCGAGGTGGTGCGCTTCCTGCTGGAGCGCGGCGCCGACCCCGACGCCAGGGCGCACTGCGGCGCCACCGCCCTGCACTTTGCAGCCGACGCCGGCCACCTGGCCGTGGTGGCCGAGCTGGTGCGGCGGCACGCCGTCATGGCGGCCAACGGTCACGGCATGACGCCGCTGAAGGTGGCGGCGGAGAGCTGCAAGGAGGATGTGGTGGAGCTGCTGCTGGAGCACGGCACCTGTGAGCCGGCGCGCCGCGTGGAGGCGCTGGAGCTGCTGGGCGCCTCCTTCGCCAACGACCGCGAGAACTATGACATCGGCAAGACGTACCACTACCTGCGCGCCGCCATGGACGAGCGCCGGCGCCACGCCGGCGTCGTGCCAGCCAAGGAGCCGCCGCCGCCC